GGGTGGTGTATGCAGAGATTGTTTTATTTGAAATAATTTCTGGTTAAAGGGAAATAATTACTGATTTTATGTCATGTATATTTAACCTTATTTCCCTTTTCAACAGACAACCGTATGAAATGAATAATGAATTTTACAAGACTTGGCACTCGCAATTTCTACTTTTTAATTCCACCACCCACCCCCTTAACTACATCCACGTATCCACTCTCTCATACCATCCAGGGCACCATGGAATGTATCTTAGCTGCTGCGATCTGTGGGGTGGTATTTGCCTTGTTTGCTGGCCAGCCAATGAACATCCTTGGCTCTACAGGACCAATGCTTGTGCTGGAGATGATCATATTTCAGTACTGCAGGTATTGTGGCTTTTTACGACTCGGTGGTTAGAGATTAAAGCAAAGTAATATCATAAAATACGATGATGACGTCATAGGTCTTAAATCTTTAACAGTTAAAGTATTTGGTAGTTGCTGTAATTTGATTTGTTGAAGACTAGAAATTTGGTAGAAGAATTCTACTGCAGCTTATTGAAGGCTATGGAGCTGATTTTTTTTCCCAGAATTCGGACATAAATTAATATGAGGGCGTAAGGACTATATTTATTTGTCCGCATTCTGGAAATAAGTACTTGGGTTCATGGCAATTGTTTGATGACATAATAAGTTGCCCGCAATGGCCCGCAAGTCTAAAAGCTGGTTGATAATCCACATTCATATCTAGAAAACATTGATATGCAACCTTTTTAAGAGGAATGGCCTTTTGAATATTAATTTTTTTTAAAGTTCTCTTACCCATAAAGCCATAAATAATTATGGATTTTTTTTATAAAAGCTATATTTTAGATTTCAAGCAATCGAAACAAATAATTCTCTATTGATTTGGGGGCAATTATCTTTTTTTTTAAAAGTCCTTTTTTAATGTAGGGAAGGATTGTTAAATGAAATTTTTAGGGAATGCACTTGCATATTTTGAAAATGAAATGCTGTTAGCTCCAGACAGAAAATATGAGAGAATTATTTTATTTGATTGCCACCATGTAAATGATCAGCCAATCGGTTACAAACAAACTGCTAGTATGTATCAGTTAGCTGCTCCTGCTCCTGCTGCTGCTATAAATATCACATTTTTTTTTGTTTTTTCCAGGGACCATGACTGGGACTTCCTACCATTCCGTGTGTGGATTGGCTTGTGGACAACGTTCATCCTGCTTCTCATTGTGGCTTTTGACCTGAGTGCACTGGTGCGGTACATAACAAGGTTCACAGAGGAGTGTTTCGCCTCACTCATTGCTCTCATTTTCATCTACGAAGCTTTTGCTAAGGTAGGAGGAAGTTGTTCATTGAAAAATTAGTGACAGAAGAGTTTACTTCATTCCTGTATCATAATTAGGCTATTGGTGATTTCTACTTTCTTGAAAAATGTTGTTTTTTTTTTGTTGTTTTTTTCAATTGAGAAATTTATTAACTAATAACAAATTTAAGGCTTCCAATAAAATATTGTTGGTGAATATCTGTTTTGCACAGAAGTAGTCATTTTAAATTAAGTTCACTAATGGAAGCTAAAATGTTATTCCATTAAAATATTAATTTTTTAAATTTCTTTCTTTAACATTTTGAATGAATTAAATTTAAGGACTAGCTCAAGCTCACTAAATCTAAATGAAGATTTCATGACATATAAATCAAGATTTCATGACAATGTCTTTTTTCATCTCCCCAGGTGATCAAAATTAACTCCAAATATCCAGTCTTCTTTGGCAGCTACCATGATGTCCAGTCATGTCCAGTCTCCACTGTTTCACCGGAAAACTCATCAAACACATCACAGTCACTTCCTCTGTTGAATAGTTCTATAGTCTTAGGTAACACAACCACATCTCCATTTGACCTTGACCTGAATACAACAGGATCATGGGTGACAACAACACTGTCACTGACACTAAATACTACAACAACACTTGGACCCTTCTGTCACAGTTATGTCGGAGATGTTTTCTTCCTGTCCGTTATAGAATTTCTATTCACTTTTGGGATTGCATTTTTCCTTGTGAAGTTCAGGAACAGTATCTTTTTCCCTAATGTAGTAAGTACCACTCAATTTTTATACTTACATTGAAGTTAATTTACAATTTTTAAATTGCCGTTTTATAATTTACCTGGCTTCTTGGTGGAAAACATTACCAACTACTTGGCTTCTGAATGCGTTCTTTTTAAGTCCATAGAATTTAACCAGTAAAAAAAAAAAGCATTTTATTTTTTCCCAAGTTGTCAAAAGATTCAATGTTGTTCATAATCAAAAGATTCAATGTTGTTCATAAGTCAAATATGTATTAATTACACAGTTCTAGCCTCAAGCAGCAGAAATATATTTCCTGACATATGTCATTAGTGCCTAAATCAGGAAAAAACTAAATGAATTTTTAAACCTTATCATTTATTTATTTTATGACCAGACAGCCCTGCTTTATATGAAACCTTAATTGTTGAATTTTAACTTGTCCAGCATTGGATTCACAGTTTTAATCATACCTGTATCTTGATTTTATAACTTTAAAATCAATATTGATTTCAGTTCAGTGAATCTCTTTATTCTTTACTTATGTTTCTGTCATTTTTATTATATTTTTAATTACTTTTTTTACTCATTATTTAAATTTCAACTCCATCTTTACAGGTCCGACAAACATTGAGTGACTTTGGTGTCCTCATCGCTATCATGATAGTGGTGGGTGTGGATGTAGCACTCAAAATAGACACACCAAAACTAATAGTGCCTGATAAGTTCTCAGTAAGTATGGACTAGCAATGGTTCTGGAAGGTAATGGGGGCCTTTAAATACATTTTAGGGGTTCTGTAAATTTTGGATAGTTTTTTGGAAATGCATCATAATCTTCATTAATTGAAACTAAAACCTCAAGGTGAGTGGTGGCATATCCATTCTAAAGTGTAGACTTATTGTTAATAAAGATTTCACAGGAATTGGAAATTTCCAATGCTACCCAGTAATGAAGCCATCTTTTGTCATCCAATTTTTAACTGGCATGCCTAGGGTCAAGGACAATAAAAGCGTGGAAAAAAAAAATTATATCTATATTTCTTCCTGTTGGGTGGAGCAGTACATTTCAATCCAATATGCATTGAAGCTTACAAAGACCCAAATGATTTAGGTTTCTCAATTTGATTAAAGCCCATTTTTAGGGATTGATTTTTTAGGCTTTTAATTTTAACGAAAGAAAAAAAATTAGTTAATCTACTGAATTAACATTTGTGATGTTTTCCAGCCAACACGTCCAGATAGAGACTGGTTCATCAGCCCCATCAGCAGCAAGAATCCCTGGTGGCTGGCCATAGCGGCATTACTCCCTGCCTTGCTGGCCACAATCCTTGTGTTTATGGACCAGCAGATAACTGCAGTCATTGTCAACAGGAAGGAACACAAACTGAAGGTAGGCGCTCTGAAAAGTGAAATTGGGGTTTGGTATGGGGTAGGTAGGTTGAAAAGAAATTTGGGTAGGGTATGGGGGTAGGACTATTTTACTTTAGTTAGGAACAACTACCAAATTAATTTGGGCCAACTACTTCTTGGCATATTTTTTACCACTGTGTTAAAGGACCACCATTATAGGATAAGCTTAAAAAGGATTCAAATAGTTGATTTGAATTAAATATTGACTCGTTAATTCTTATTCATGGTGCTTAAAATAAAGACAAAGCCTCATTTAAATAGTTCAGTAGTTTACATTTGAAATCTACATAAACTTAGTATTATCAAATTTAGACTTAACGGAAACTGTAAATTCTTAAATGAAATTAATGTCATACAGAAAGGCTCTGGCTATCACCTGGACATTTTGGTACTGGCTGTACTTATAACTGTCATGTCAATCCTTGGTCTGCCTTGGTATGTGGCTGCTACTGTGTCTGCACTAGCGCACATAATGAGTTTAAAGGTAAAAAAACAAATTGGATATTTTCTGAATAAAAATTGTGTTTTTGAACCTGCTTTACATTTAACACAGAACTTTTGTTGATTCAACAATTTGCTAGATTTAAAAATGTTGCTGACCATTAATGTGACCATTATGTAGGCCCCCCCCCCCGCATCTATTTTAGTCCTATAAACATACTTCTACTGTAAAATGACAGAAACTTTAAGGTCAATCTGATTTAATTGCCAATAATCCCAGGTTGAGTCTGACTGCACTGCCCCTGGTGAGAAACCTGAGTTTTTAGGTGTCAGGGAACAACGAGTTACATCCCTTTTGGTAGGACTGCTGAGTGGGTTATCTGTCCTGTTGACTGGCGTTTTGAAGGTATACATTCATAGCTCTATAGATGTTTATTTATTCATTTAGTTTGCTGTTGTGTACATTTTTAAGGACTGGGAGATGGCATCCTCCAAAATTGCAGGAGATAGCCAGAAAATTAACCACATTATTTCAAAAGTTATGTAAATTTGTAAGAAGACATTCAGATAAGAAAAGATTCTTTATTGATTCAAAAAAATGGAAATTTTACATTGTACATATTCATTTTTAGCACATAAATAAATACATATTTACATTTCTGGTAATTGAATAATATAATTAATATGTTCTAGATATCCCCCTGTTTTTATTTATAAAAAAAGTTATACTTTTTTTTTTTAAATCTTGTTAAATGGGTTCTCATTATGAAATGCATTATGATGTTGTTTGTGATATTTGTTGTGTTTTTTTAATTGCAGTTTTCATATAATATTTTGATTTTCATTCAAATATTGTTATTGTTTATCTTACAGTTTATCCCACTGCCAGTGTTATATGGTGTCTTTCTGTTCATGGGTGTCAGGTCATTGGAAGGCATGCAGGTATGTCACAACTAGAAAATTACTTATCTCTGTTTTAATTTTTTTTAAACCCAAACTAAGAAGATGCATTTTAAAAATAGTAGGTTAAAGCTGGCTCAATAGATTTTTAATTTTCTTTTCCTTTTTAGATATAATAATATATCTTCAAGCCACACAGCCTGCAAATTATACATTTTTATATTCTCTCAGTTTGGGATTGTAATCTTAATAGGAATGTAATTAACCAGAAGGGGGAAGAAATCAGTATAGATTATTATAGGCTTATAAATATTTTCAATTATTAAAATTATTAGATATACTGATTCTGTTATCAATTATCAAAAATTTTTATCCTGAGTGTCTTGGGGAAAAAATGTTAATTTCAAGTAAATATACTTTTAGTAATAGAATTTTTTTTGAAAGTTTGAATAGACAGCCATATTAGACTTCAGATGGACTGTTTGCATAGTTAAAGAAAAATAATGTTTAAATGCAATAATTTTATCTAAACTTAATTTTAAAAAGTCTGTATTCATTTAATCATTTATTCATCAGCTGGTTGATAGGTTCATGCTGTATATGATAAGTCCCAAATATCAACCTGACTATCCTTACTTGCGACATGTGCCTTTGTTGAGGGTTCACATCTACACTCTCATTCAAATATTGTGCCTTGCGGGACTGTGGATCATTAAGACATTCAAAGAGACATCTATAGGCTTCCCAATAATGGTAAGGTGTTATTCCGTTTGTTGAAGAACACTGTTTAGTCCACTCTGTTAGTTACAGTAATCGACCTAAAGCAGATAATTTTATTTGGTTTTAAAGTTAATAAGAGGGTTAGATTAATTTTCTGTGACTTGAAATAATAATCACTGCTGAAAACCAAAATACTTAGCATGTGTAAATTTATATTAGAACTCTTAATTAACCATTTAATTTACATGTAAAATAGATTTAAAGGGGAACAAAATGGTGGATATACATTATGGCCTTCTCTAAAATCACCCCGCAAAAAAAATCCAATTTTAAAAATTTAATTTCAAATATTTAAAATTATGAGATTCAATAAAGATTCAGTAACATTGAGACCGTTTTTTGTTTTTTTATTCATTATAACAAGAAAACGTTCATTTGTAGATGCATTTATTTTTCCATCATAATGAGAAATAAATGAAGATGAATCAAATGGCAGAAACCTGGAGTTTTGAAATAACAAACACAAAATGATTCAAAGCTTGACAAGTTTTATGCCTTTTTAAGTCATTCTAAAATTAACAATTAATGAAAATGAGCTTTTATTAGATAATTTATTCTGTTTGATCTTGTAGAGGAGATCTTATTCAATCAATGAATGTTTACACAGGTTCTTGCTACCTGTTTCATTCGGAAGCTTTTAGACTGCATCTTCACACAGTTTGAGCTCAGCTGGCTTGACCACATTCTCCCTCCCATTACCTCCAAGAAAACAAAGGTAACATTCAACCAGGTGATAACCATGGAAACCAAACGGAAATTTAGTATTTTCAGTAAACGTGTCACAAGACCACCCTCCCCTTTTCCCAAGGAAGAGCCGCCCATGAAACTCAAAATGAAGATGGATGTAGAGGCACGTTTCCATGAAGGCCATGAAGATTACATAATGTGAAGCTGTTTCTATGATACCAATCAAAGCACTTGTATTGAATCATTCAGATTCACCTGGGTATCAGGGTAGCTAGAATTATTTGGATTTTTTTTTTTTTTTTTAAATTATATATTTTTTTGTGATGCTATTTTAGTTTTTTTAATGTTTTATTTAGTAACTGTTGGAAATAAGAGTTCAGGAAAAGGGAGACTTTTCCATGTGTGCCATGGGGGAAAAAAAGCTAATCATGAAGATTTCATAATGCGAAGCTGTTTCTATGATACCAATCAAAGCACTTGTATTGAATCATTCAGATTTACCTGGGTATCAGGGTAGCTAGAATTATTTGGATTTTTTTTTTTTTTTTTAAATTATATATTTTTTTGTGATGCTATTTTAGTTTTTATAATGTTTTATTTAGTAACTGTTGGAAATAAGAGTTCAGGAAAAGGGAGACTTTTCCATGTGTGCCATGGGTGAAAAAAAGCTAAATTACAGAATATTAGAATTAAGATGGAATGTGTGTATAACAATGAATTATTCATGTGTGGTCCCTTGATACCGTACTCACATTTTGCACAACTGCTTATTGATTGGTGTTTTATAATTATTATGTTGACTTGTAAGACATTCCATTCTAAAGATTTTTAAATTTATCATTTAGTTAGCCACCAAACAATATATTTATACAATTTATAATATATTAAAACTCAAACCATCAATTATACATATCTATATATATAATATAATGCAAAGGGACCGATTCATTTCATTTTTGTCACTATTTATACCTTAACTTAGATAGCGAGAAAGAAAATGACTTATCATTAATATATTTACATAATAAGATTAGTATTTCCAAGCTCATACTATAATTGCTCAAAAAAATTACCAATATCTCAGAACTTATTATACAGCAAAAAAAACAACTTACTAAATAACTGAGTTGTTAAAGTAAAAAAAAAAAAAGAATTATTTGGTGTGTGCATTTTTTAGAAAATGTTCTTTGAATGCATTTACCAAGAATGATGCCAAAAAAAATATTTAAATCACTCTACAAGGCTTAAAATATCACATTTGATCAATAATAAATGTTAACTGAGAACTATAAGCCATAGTACAAATAAAATTTCCAAGGACAAAATTTAGATGATTTTTTTACCATCCAACAAAAGTTTATATATTATAATTAGGGATATTTTGTAATATAGTAATGGAATATTTGGTAATATATTTAGGCCTATTCGGAGGCATTTGTTGTTGAATATTAGGCATGTAAAACTTGGTATTTGATGAACCATGTTCCTATAAAATATCTTATGCACAGCTTTTGAAATTCCCCATCAAATTAGATTTACATCCTCGATGCAACTTGTTAATTGCAAGCATCATTTAGACAATATGTGCGTCAAATTAACAAGCTCCTCCTTTCCTACTAAAACCTTAACACAGCTTTTAAAAAAAGTGAATCTTTGTTCATAACATCTAAGATACATAGCAGTACATGTAGCAGCTTTTGCTCTACTAACATGTAGTGTTTCTCAAACCAATGCCACAGCACACTTGTATATATAATAAAGACTAGAGTTCTAGGATACATTCTGAAAAACAAAGTGAACTGATTTCCATTAAATATTTCAAGATTTTCTTTTGTAATTAGAAAGAAAGGTTTGGGTTTACTAATGAAAACCATGATAATTGTTTTATTCAATTTTCAATTCATCAAATGATTTTCATTGCAATCTTATTTAGTTTGGATCTCCTATTAACATTTTTAAAACAAAATTACAAGTGTGGCTCGGCTTAAAACTTTAAGAAACACTGTTGCAACATGACTTCACTTTAATATTGTTAGCTTCAATTTGAATAACTTTATTACTATTGCTATTGTTGTTGTGTAAATAGCATGTACATAAGCTTTGGGCTGGAAACTTTTCTGTCATATTTTTTTTATTTCTTATTGTTTAGTTGCCAGAGTGACAGATTTTAGTTACAAACAATGGCATACTCTTATTTAATAAAAGTCTATAGTTTATTGTGATATTCTCAAGCTCTTTTCTTGTTCACTGTAAGGAAATATTTTTAATTGATAATTATTTTAACAAATAACAAATTTAAAAAAATACAGATCTGAAATAATTAAATCAGTAAAGGAGATAGTTGACATTTGTCACTACTAATCCTGCTTGAATTTGAAGGAGAGTTATAATTTGAGCTATTTCATCACGTTACTGTGTTATGTTTCTAATAAATACTGAGTTTAAAGAATTTTTATAATTAAATTTAGGCTATTTTTAATAAAAACCTCTCAACCTCTATTCCTAGTTTCTGCCTGTAATTGTAGGCCTAAGATGTTTAATTTTTCTCTTCAATTACAAATATTGGCGCTTTTTATTTTAATATTACCTTTTATACTTTTGTTTTGCATATTTTAACCTCATTTGTGACACTGCTGTCCCCTACAATTTCATTCGATAATGATGAGATAATATTCTCCACCTGATAAGCTACCACAAATAGAAATTAATTTTAGTTGTAAAATAATGAAATAACACAGATTTTTTTTTTTTTTTTTTTTTTTTTTTTTTTTTTAAATAATTAAAAATAACATTTTTTTTTTTTTTTTTTTTTTTTTTTTTTTTAAAGCATTATTATGAAACCAGTGCCATCATCCATTATTTAATGTAGTTGGGAATACCTGAGGGAACTGCCAAGTAGAAAATTTAACATATGAGATTTTGGTTTGGGTTGAAGGAGCTCATTGGATTTGTTTACATTTTTCATAGCAAATAGTGATACAACTTTGATATTCATATTTTAAGGTATAAATTAGAAAATCTTTCAATCCTATGCTAATAAACTGTTTTGACAAAGGGAAGAGACTAAAATTGTAATGATGGTTTAAGTTGAGCCAAAGGAACCCATGTAATTTTACTATTTACATCACTGTTTTTAACCTGTTTTTTACCTATAAAAATGAATTGCATTCACATGTTCTGAAATCATAAATTATTGAATGATTTTGATAGAGTAGTTTAATAACTAATTTAAGTTAAAATTAGTATTAAAAAAAACACAGAGAAAAGTTATGTTAAAATATCTTAGTCAAGCTGTTGAAACAGAATTTACTCAAAACTCAAAGCATAACAAGTTGAAGCAAATAGCTCATATTTGACACAACAGTAGCCAATTAAACAACACATTTCACTCACCTAATAGTAAATCAAATACTGAAAACAAAGATATCCATGGGGTTTTCCTGTTTTTGCAGGGTGGTACCTCATTCTTACCTAATGACCACCCCAATGGCACTGTGGCTGTGCCGGAAATCAACATAGATCATCCGGTAGAGATGACCGTCCATAGTGACAGCAGCACAAGCATCGACAGCAATGACGTTATAGTCAGAATCAATGGTTGCCACAACTTTAACTCTTTTGGGGCAGGAAGTGCATCTAATGCAAAAGTTCCTTCACCAGTCAAAATTGTCATAAATTAGTTTAGAGTCATTCACATGAAAACAGGCCTTCTTATAAGATAAAATGTTTGTTTTAACTGAACTGAAGTACCAAAGCTAAAAAAATATATAATATAACCTACCTACAGGTCTTTCATATTAATTTGAAAGGGCTACTGTTGATTAAATCCTTCCTTTAAAAAAATCATTTGAATTAAATAATTATTAAAGTGCATTAGTTTCTAGGGCACTATGAGATAAATGAAAACCAGTTCTTTATAAAATAATCACTTGTATGTTTTAAGTAGTGGTCCATTTAATCCCTGGTTAATCAATAGTTAAAGTTGAGCTTGAAGCTAATTGTAAAACAAAACTATTAAATTTCATGTTTCTGAGATTATAATATTTTATAATTCACCTTGTAAGAATTGAAGACTTAAGTTATTTCTCCTTAAAAGTTCTTGTAAAAATAGAAATATGAGCTTAAGATTACCAGCTAATAATCAGATTTATTTTAGTTAAAGAAAACAATATAAATATTTACTCAGAGGCTTGAATCTTGAATTTGTTAAATGCTAATATGACCTTTTTTAAAATGTTTTGTAAAAGATTGAACAATGAGCTCTCTTCAATGCTGATCAATTCTATTTCTAGAATGAAAAGTTAAGTGATGAATCATCCATAATATAAAAAAAATTACTTTGGGTTTAAATTTATTTTTTTTAAAATTCACACAAGAGCCTTTTTCGAGAAATAGACACGTGATGCACATTAGTTCCAAGATGCAGAAAAATAACTCATTTCATCTTTGTAAATTATACCCTAAACACCTTGAATTGCTTCTTACTAAATTTGGGATGAAATGGTGTTACAAACAAAAATTTAAAATATACTAACATGGGTAATAAGCTGCATGTTTACAAACACTAAATGTAGATCATTTATTCTCAAACTCAACTACTGTGAACCCAGTTGATGTGTTGAAATCATATTGCCGACATTTTGAACTAATTTTTTTTTTTTTTAATCAAGAAAAGTCTTTCATTTTAAATTTAGTTGTAACTTAATGTTTGCCTGGAGAAGGAACAACCTGGTTTGGGTTTTTTTAAGTCATGGTTGACAGAGTAAAGGAATGCCTTTTTCTTACCTCTGGTTGTGCAGCTAATACTTTAAATTAAAATTTGGTGCAAGAATTGTGAGCCTCTTCCATGACTTGGCCAGGAGAAAGGCTAAAGTAGAGATACATTGTGATGTCTAAGTTATGAAAAATCAGTTCCAATTTTTATGTAAATACTTGTTCTGATGGAAAATTTTTTGATTGTAAATCTATGCACTTGTTTATCTTTTGTAAAATTAAAGTTAATGATGATTTTTTTAAAAAAAAACAGTTTGGATTTGTTTGACTGGCTATCCATTGTTATAGTGTGGTAGGAAAAACTGGTGTCTGGCTGTCGAACACAGAAATTATTCATCTATTTATTTGTGTCTATTTAAACTCATGTGATAATTATATCATTGTTTTAGTCTTCATTCCGAACTGTATTTTTTGTAAGTTGTATAAGTTAAACATAGTTTTGTTACATTATGTTAAGAAAAAAATTCCAGTTATATATTTAAGGCAACTTTTTATTTTTTTTTAACAAGATCTAAGAAATAGTAACAGATTTTACTTAAAATATTAATAAATGTAATATTTTGCTGTTATTTTAATTTCTTTAAAAATGTAAATCTCCAATGAGCTAGATCAACTAAGTCTAAATTATTCATAAAAAAGAAAAATAAATGCATGATTAGATTGTAGCTAAAATTATAACCAGTATTTCATTTATTTTCTGTTTGTTCTCCCATGAAATTCATGCAGTCCCTTTTTAAAAATGACACTCAAAACATTGCATGCTTTTCATTTATTAATTTTTTTACAATAAAAAAACCACTCCCACTAGCAGCTGTTACCAGATTATGTTTACGGATTTGCAGGGCTACATTTGGATTGTAATTGTTCATTTAAATAACAGGGAACACCTGATTTTCCATAATAATGATGGTCAAAACTCTTTTTGTTAATTGAAACATCAAGTTTAATGGGAAAATAATTGAGTTTCTTTGCATCTGCAAATGTTAATGAAGGTGAGGGTTCGGTAATTTGTGGATCTCTTGTTCTATCGGTGCATTTATTTGTACATAGTGCTGCAGTGAATTATTGTCCACTGATATATTGGTTTTATTATTTTTATAAATTAATCAGAATCTATTCTAATTCCTGTTTAATGTAATAGTAGTGATTCTAATCATTACATTGCAAACATTGGATTTCCATAATTTTGATTTGTAATAGGGGAGGGCTTTTTTTTAAAAAAAGAATATATTGCCCAAAGCTTAATGAAAAGAACCAAAACACAATGGAAGGTCAGGTCAAGCCAATACAACAGAATTGACAGCAGTGGACACATTTGTGTTACTACTGACTGGTTACACAGTACATCCATCTGTTTCCATCCCCGAAAGGTGATTCTACAAATTGTCCAGATGTGTGTATTAAAATATAAATGTGATAAATGAAGTTTGGAGCTATTTACATTAACCTGGTCTTTGTATCCAAGACAATTCTTTGAAATATTTTCAATAAAATGTCCTATTTTTTACATCTACAAACTGAGTTGTTTGAAATCTTCAATGTAATATACCTGTCAAAACTTTGCCTTGCATATGCCCATCGTAGAAGTAGAAGGTTTACTGAAGTAGGTCAGTTTTGGTTCATATCTGGCTTGCACATGGCTGATGCCAGGGCCGTGCAGGGGGTTATGTAGGGCAGAGTGTCTTAATCAAGGTGCGATAAAAAAAATATTATTCATTCAAAATGTGTATACAAATTTTTTGGGAGGGTTTGCCAAAATTCAGTTTTTGCGCTATACACATTTTTTCTTGGCGTAGCCCTTTCTGCGAATGCCAATCTCGCCATCACAAATGGACCCCTCCCCATGAGCTGAGAAGACGAGGGCATTGGCCATGCTTTGACCACTCATATTATTTGGAGTAACACTGTTAGAAAATAAGTTGTGGCACATAATGTCCTACAGTAGTTACTGTTCAACAAAAACATTCCTAGATAAACATAAAATACAATTATAATAAAACTTTTTATGAAGTATACACCAACATTACTTTGAATTAAGCACTCATTAACTTTTTACCCTTTTGGTCTGTCTATATTTCCTAAACTATCGATTCCCATATTATGATTATTATCATCTACCTACAAGAGTAATGGAGTCTGGCACACTACCTTTCCCCCAAGTACCATAATAATGAGAGCATTGCTTTAGTAAAAGGAGAAGAAAATAAGATTGCTCATTGGATGACTTGTGAAGTGACTTATTAAATATATTATACTTTATATCTATTTAACTTATAGTACCCGTATAGAATTTTTTTCTTGAACACCAACCAACCATAACACAACTTGAGTAATCTTCAACTAACTTTGCAGAATCTGTTAATAATCCCTTTACACTTGAAATAAATACCTTGAAACAATGATATTTAAAATAGATGACTACATAAAAAATAAAAATAAGAAAACCAACGATGTAATAAATACATTATACATTTATTCCATAAACCTTAAAGCACAATTCAAAATATTCATGACAAGCCTTTTGTATTCACACAGTCCTTTCACCACCAAACATCCCAATGTTCACTTGGACTTGAAATAATCTCTGACAACATCTAATGCTGGTGTCTCCATACCATAGTCCTGAGAAAGCAGTGCATGACATCATTATTATGCTACATCAAAATTATATCTTTTAACAATCACAATATTCTATAAAATGCATTACTTTCTCTTCATTGTGTGCCAATAAACATCTAATTTTCTAAAACTATTTGAAAAAAAAATGAATCTTGAATGATTCAAATTGACCTTAGTAAACCATGACGTTTTTTTTCCTTTTAACAGTCACAGACCTGTTTACTCATACGATTTTGCATACAATGAACGATTTTGATGTGTATAGATTGTATATACTGTATGTTTATTTTTTAATATAAATATAACGAATTGAACGATTTTGTGATGATATTTTACGATTTTAAGAGTTTGAGGGTAAACAGGTCTGCAGTAATGCTAGGTAAATTAGGTAATTATGTATAGGTATAAATAGTCTAGCTACAATCTCTTCATTGCAATACCTTAACAACCACAACACCACAAGCATTGACTTTTCTTGCTTTGCCTTCCTTGTCCAATTTGCATAGACCAGCCCACTCCCCAAGTTTCTTGGCATCATCAACCTGTCAATTAAAAAAAATAATAGTCTTACTTTAAAAACAAAAAATTATTTATAACAGTTAATGTAGTGTTTATGGGAACAAGGGCCAGGTGATCACGGTGGCTCTGAGGTGGAGTAACATATTTCCACAGTAGATTTGGTTTTGATTCAACATTTTAAGTTAATTTTGAAAGAAACTATCTGATGACTAGATAAGCTGTCAATAGCTGACATTATCAGTGAATCATGGAAAAGTAAATTTACATCAAATATAAAGAGCTCTTAAGAGGTCCTTAAAATGTTCTATCTCTCTAAATTGTCGAAAAACATTTAAATGCACGCCTATTTAAATTAAATAAACAATTCTGTCATTACCTTCAGTAAGTTAATATCATGCTCTGCACAAAGAGCTTCAATTAGTTTGGAATAGAGGGGTTCATCAACACTGTTGGCCAGAACACATAGATGGGCCTGACGTCTAAAGGGAACAGGAAATGAGAAATCCACGTAACAGTAAAAAAAGAAATTTAACTCTAAAATATCCAACTGTTATATGGCCATACAAAGTAGCTTTCGATAAAATTAAATTTCTTTTAAATTCAACTCACTTTATTAACTACTGCCAAGGCCTAAAATCCTGAACCTAACACTTTTAATTTGAACAACAGATTTGTGCTGGATTTTTAGATTTTCACATTTTAAAAAGTTCACTAACTATAGCATTTGCTGCAATAAACAATACAATTTCTAGTTATAGTTATAATAATATAATTGAATAAAAATTCCCAATAATTATTTTTATTTTTAAAAAAGACATTTAAATCAAGACAAGCCAGAAGAATGAAATAAGGGACTTAGTAGAGTATCCATTCATCACTGCAGTTCTTTTAAAACTGTCAACAAAACAAACAGAACCTTGACCTACTTATCAAGGGCCTTGGTTGCTTCCTTTACACCTCTACACAGACCATCATGGATGAGAGCTGTCTTGAGGACTTCTTGCAGGGCCTGGTAAATGTCTAGTGGTCCAGCGTCAGCCACTACCACTGGAGCAGGAACTGGAGCATCTCTGCAACAGGCGAACATAATATTTGGTTTAAGTAAAAAACACCCATCACCTGATGATCCCTGGACCACCTGAGAGCATGTCAAGTGTGTTTAACACTCATTTATGTCTTACATGACAAGACCACCCAGCCTTGGTGATTATCTAATATTTTCCCACCAATTTAAATATTTTTTATTTTTTTAAGTGATCAAATCAACACAAAGATTAGAGTGATCACAGCTAGCTCTTCAAATTTTAATTTTATATAGAAACAGGAGTTCCTTTTATGTTTATATGATATACTGTTCTATTTATCCACACAAAAAAAAAAAAAAAATCATGTAGACCTAAACTTATATTGATGATTTTATAAAACATACCCTTCAGTCCACACAAAAAAAAAAAAAAAATCATTTAAACCTAAACTTATATTGATAATTTTAAAAAAAAAACCCTTCAGCATCTGACATGTTCTAATTTTTCTTGAAAGCTAGGATGAAACACACAAAAAAAAAAAAAAATTGTCCAAAAAAGAAAAATTCAAAATTCCAAACAAAAAAAAAAAAAAATCATGTAGACCTAAACTTATATTGATGATTTTATAAAACATACCCTTCAGCATCTGACATGTTCTAATATTTCTTGAAAGCTAGGATGATACACACAAAAAAAAAAAAAAATTGTTCAAGAATGATAAATTCAAAATTCTGAACTGAAAACAAGGAAAACCATCACCTAACAAGTCTTCTTTACCTCTCATCTATTCATATTCAAATTTTTAAACCCAAACACATCATTGTATACATAGGCTTACAGTAGTGGCATTCTTTAATTTGTCAATTTATACTTTTTTATAACTTTATTTCAGTACAGGTACTAGCTAGGCCCAACTCAACTATCTTAGGCCTAATAATATTGCCTGGTAAGAGGGGGGAGGAGGGAACAAGTGTTGTACTATACTTATAAGGACAATATGTAAAGTTTGGGGGGATGGGGGGCAAAAAATGTGTGACTTCCCCAGACGTCACTTTGGTACCTGTTCCGCAAAATATAGGCCTTCTGTACAAAGTTTTAAGACACTAAAGCTAGACCAGTAACACAGGTCAATAAGGATTTTGCTACTGAAAGTAAAACATATGGGTTCATGTAATTTAACCCACTGATTCCAAATATAAATTCAGAATCTGCCTAGCACATCACGATTTTAAGCTATGCATGCATTGGAGAAATTATGGGGGGGATTGGGGTGACTTCCACAGACACCACTTTGACAATTTGAATAACATTTATTATTACCAACATTATATACCACTAAGGCCTAACGTCACTGGTCAACAGGAATTTAGCTACCGAAAGCAAAGTATTTGGGTTGTAAAATTTTAAAGCACTGATTCTAAATATGAAGTCAGACTCTGCCTAGCACATCTAGATTTTAAGTTATGGATGCAAAAAAGAAATTTATATAATATTGATAAAATTGCCAGTGTAAAGCAGGACGAAATGAGCCAAAAGCATATTACACGATAGAGCATATGCCTTTACTTAATATGGGATGAACCTATCTTGAGCATGTTTTATTTGCAAAAAAATTATAATGAATTTTAAAAATTAAACAATTATATAGAAGAAATTTAAACAAACAACTAGATTAAACAGTTTTTGAGCTATTACTTTTAAAAAATTCAAAATGTGAGTTTTTAAAAATGTCAGAATCAGGATGTGTCAATTATAATGTGTGTGCGCAACACCACAATAAAAAAAACTAAGCCCTCTGAAGCCAAAATTTTTGTAGGGCTCCATACGCCCCACCCTGTCACTTCATAATATGTATACATAGTATAAACTGGAACATGATATTTTTTTCTGTACTGATGTGAATGATCTTATACTGAAGTTAGGTTGTGAATACGTTCCTGATCAATGGAGTCTTCATAGACTCCAGCAATGCAAGCTTGGAACCAGTGTTGTTCCATAACGGTGATGAAAAATCATATTATGTTCCTAAAACTCATGCTTTTGGCCTCAAAAGACATGGGATTCAATCAACCACATTTTTGAAAGTGATTGACAGTTCAGAACAAAACTGAAACATCTGTGCTGACCTGAAGGTGGTAGAAACCTCTTCTAGGATTACACCTGATATGCACAAAATATTTGTGCTTTCTTTTGCTTGTGAAACCGTCCTGATGACAGCACACATTATTAGATAGTAAAACAATTATTATCTGAGCACATTGTTGATCAGCACAACATTCAACACAAATCATTGTGCAAAAATCTTCCTGTGAATAACCAAGCTCAGAACAATGCTCCTGATGAACATTAAATGCATTTTAACAGATTTTGGCATATTTAAAAAAAAATTTTACTAAGACTTTCTATGAACTATTTTTTGTTTACATTTTAGAAATCAAAACATAAAATGTATAAAATAAATGGAAAGAGGTTTCATTTTTATGTTTAAATTATTAAAAAAATTATTAGCAGTGTTTTTATGTTATGTCTACTCTGGTCTGGACATAGTCGCACATTTATAATTTATATTATTAATTATTAAATATAAGCAAATACTAGCGCTGTTTGCATAATGGACTAAATTAGACAATCCGCGCCATGATGCATGTCTGTGTAGGATTCTCTTCCTTTTGTTTATTCTTGTGTTGTTACTAGAGTTAACTTTTCTTTAATACAACAATGGAATGTTTTACGTTAAAATTTGGTTGGTTAGTTAATTATAATGTTTAAATTTTCCTGCATTTATCATTTTGTATATGGGTGTAGTATAGTTTTTGATTTTATGACAGCTTTCGGATTTTCTTTTTGGTGAAACCTGAAATAAAATGTGTAAAAGTGTAATCTAAGAAACGGTAAGTTGTGTTTTCATTATTTAAAGTTATTTTGTATTGGTTTTTCTTCATTTTTATAGTTTTCTGGACCACAGTCCACAGTGTGTAACTGTACTGTAGACACACACATGTTTTAATTTTAGTTGAGGAAAAGCAGCATGTACCAGTTGAAATTACACCAGGAAAGGGGGTGACCCCATGTCGTTGACTCTTCTTGTCGCATAATTAGAGGGATACATATTGTAGTAGCTTTGCTCACCACAAAATTTATGTACCGGCTCAAATTATGTCATTAAGTTTTAACATTATTTTGTTTCTAATTTCGTTTCCCTCAGTAAATAGCTAGTCCTGCACATTCTCTCCTTTTCCCCTCCCGATTTTTGGATTATGTGTTTTTTATACGGCCGCCACCTTGGTTGTCATGACCTGTGAGCACGAATCATGACGGGCCAAGATGGCAGGATATTTCACATCATCATGTCACATGAAGCTGCATAACTTAAAATTTTAAAATCCTGACACTGACCTTAACACAAAATATGACTTCAGTTTTGGAATCAGCGCACTTGATATGATAAAAGTTTTTTTTTTTTTTAGTTGTCCAGTATTGCCAGTAAATTAGTAATAATTAATTAAATAATAATGTAAAATGAAAATGTAATTTAATAGTGTAAAATCAGTAATTATAAATTAGTTAGTTATAATAATAGTGATAGTGTTATTATATGGTGAAACTAAATGAACTAAATTATTAGTGTAATAAAAGCTTTTGAAAATCGAAACCATTTCGATAACCATTCTGTAAGTGACGGATGCACTGGGCGAAGTAAGTGTAAATTTAGTTAGGCCTACTACAACTCATCTTGAAAGTGCCGAAAAATTATAAATGAAAACCTATTTTCGATAAACCATGCTGGTACACAATTTAATTAATTCAATAAGTCCATTTTCACCCCACAATAAGTAAAGCTAATGGGGAAAGTATAATGTAGTAATAATAAATGTCACATTTATTTATTTCAACCGTTTTATTTTTACAAAATTAAAATATGTAATGTTTACGAACACTGAAAAAATAACAACAACCTACTGTAAGCAAAGTTTGTAAAAAAGGACACGTACAATGACATCAACGGATTTTATGAAACAATATATAATACATCGTATTTTTTCTCAACGTCCATAGCATGCATTTAATTATTGATTAACTGTGGAAAATTAATGCTATTCTTGTATAGGTTTTACTTTTGACTTTTTCTGGAGCATCTAGAATCACCTTTAGAATCACATTAACGTTATCATTAATTTTTGTATATTCTCTTTTTTTTTTTTTTTTTTTTTTTTAATTAAATTTTTCCTTTCC